CTTATGATTTATCTATCAATTAATAAATGGAAGAAATTTAGAATCCATGAAAATGTGTATACCCTACATGATGTAAATTAATGGATTATGGGTGGACTTTTTTATTTTTTGACCAAGAACATTGTTTATCAAAATGTTACATTTCAAGGAAGAGGATTTGCTTAAGTATACAAAATATATGAAGTGTTAACCAGCTGTCATGGAAGTGCCCTACACTTTATGAGATAGACTGAGTATGGCCAGAGACAGATGCAGTTGTTTGTGTCTTTTTTGTTATTTAGCCATCAATAAAAGAAAAGAATTGGAAACAATCACACTTGCCTCTTGTTTTGTTAGTTTTGCTGCATCCTTGGCTTCAGCACCCTCTGGGGACTAGAAAGGAAATTATACAATTAAGTCAAGTATATTGCATTCTCCTTAGTTAAAACAGACAATCAGAAATATAGAACCAAATGGAAATCTTACAGGTTATATTATTTCAATAAAACAATGAGATTCATGTAATTCCATCCTTATTTCTAATGAGCCAAAGATCACCGGAGCATTAGATTATGATAAACTGAACTGTTTTGAATACATACATATTCACCAGAGATTAGCAGCTTTTTATTTTTAAAAATAGTTCTTTAAAAACAGATTGAGTGGCAGTTTTAAGTAGAACCATTCAGTTATATGTGTACCATATTCTAGCTTAATTTTGACCAAGAAAAAAAAAATGTTTTGACCAAGGTACTAAAACATAAAGGTGCAACTGTCTGTCTCCCATCCAGCCCTCAATACTGTATGGAAGCAAACAACTACCTTCTTAGTAATGCCACAAAATAAAACCTGTAGATACTGAAATGAAATAAAGGAAAACTAGGTTTAAATTAGTGGGTCTAACTACAACTAGGCGTATGTAAATCTAGATTCTTATTGTTAGAATAATGTTGTTTGGCTTGGGAATTTTATGAGAAGCCCTTGATGCTTAGGTGAACAAATAAAACTTCCAAGACTCTTTTTTTTTTAAATAAAAATGTAAAAACATAATATTGCACTAAAACTATTTCAAAGCAGTAAAAATGTGAAACTAGCAAAGCCCCATCTGGACCTATGCCCCATATATTGATGGTACAGGAGGATTTACCCAACAATATGGAAAATAATTTCAACACACTATAAACTAGGCAGGAAGGGGCATCTGCAGCAACAGTCACTGGCTTCCAAATGGGGGGCATGACTGGACAAAGTAGATACAGATAGTCCTTGTTTAGCAGTTGCCTCATTTAGTGACCACAGTTACAACGATGATGAAAAAGTAACTTTGCAACCAGTCCTTGCATGTATGACCTTTGCAGGTCTGTAAAGCAAAGGAAAGCTGAAGTAAGACTGTAACAGTCATGTTTCACTTAGCGACTGCTTCACTTAACAACCACGTTGCCGGTCCCAATTGTGATTGCTAAACGAGGACTACCTGTGTTGCACATGTGTAAAAGGGGCAGGCTACAATCGCCTGGTCATACCCATCATTTTGAAGCAGTGACCATTGGTGTGGATATACCTTGGGGCAGGGAAACATAGGTATCTGGGCTTCCCAAACAATGTCTTCATCACATTTTTTTTTTTTTAATCCGCACTCAATCGTGACCAATTCTGCGGCGACTGCCTGGACGAGTCCCTGCAGTTTTCAAGGCAAGGTGTTTCAGAAGTGGTTTGCCATGGCCTCCTTCCTATAGGGGAGCCCAGCTGGTGAGCGCAGGAGGCGGGGTTTCTGTTGCTTCACGCCTTTTTCGGGCGTGCGTGGCTTCCGCGCTACTGGCAACTTGGTCCTGTCTCCCGTGCAAGCTCTGCCAGCATTTTTCCTCCCACCGCGGTGAGAGTCCCCATTTATCTACTCACAGAAGTTTTCGAGCTGCTGGGTTGGCAGGAGCTTGGGAGGAAGCAGGAGCTCACTCTGCTGCGTGGAGCTGGGCTCGAACCGCTGAAGTGTCAACCATTTCTGGCTGGCAACTTTCAGCGTCATTAAGCCGCTGCGCCACCGCGTCCCCTATATATGTAATGAAGTGTCAACCATTTCTGGCTGGCAACTTTCAGCGTCATTAAGCCGCTGCGCCACCGCGTCCCCTATATATGTAATATATTGTAATGTAATATGTAATAGTAATGTAATATGTAATAGTATATGCAGGATTTTTTACGGAATAGTTATTTAAAAAATAAAGAATAAGATGAAAAAAGATAATTGAATTCCACACTTCATGTCTTAATCGGCCTTTCCAGGTTTCTAATAGTTGCTGGAGACAAACTAAAACAGCCTTCCCCACATAATGCCACGCAATATATTGGAACTACAACTCCCAGAATTCTACAGCCAGAGCATGGCACAACTGTAGCTCTATCTATCTATCTAGCATCTTATTTCCAATTTTTTTTTTTTTTTTGGTTTTGGTTTTGGAAAATAAAATCCCACATTGGCTGCTCAAAATCCCAAATCAGCCAATGGTCTGTAAGTTAGAGTTCCTCCCAAAACTTAAAGCAACCCACATTTTCTCCCCACAAGCCAGTGAAAGATTTCTCAGACATAATTTGTTACAGGTTGCTAATACAGGTAGTTTAAGACGGAGTTCTGTTCCCAAGGTCTGTCCTTAAGTCAAATTTATATGTAAGCCAGAACAGTATTATTGTATAATACTGTATAAGTAGTATTCTGTAATTAACTTGAACCATTGTGTATTTAATTCGAATCACTGTGTATTTAACTGGAATTTTACTACAGTAGGTTCCATTCTTAACTATGGGTCGTCTGTAACCTGGGCATTCTTAACCCGGGGACTACCTGTAATGAGTCTTCTGGTAGAAAATGAGTTTCAACTTGAAATGTTTTGATCACAATCCGATCTGTCACTGCACTGGCTCAGTTGGACCAAATCTGAAGAGTTCATCTATACAGATGCTATCTGACACCCAAGACTATTCTTACCACTTTACACCTTTATTCCAAGTAAATGTGCTAAAGAACAGAGGTTCCAGCCTTGTGCCTAACTAGATGAATCATTTAGCTACAGGCAAGAATGTACTCTTCAAGAAAAACACTTCCTCTTTTAAAGAATGTGCTGTATATGATTATGCATGTTTATCTCTCTCTCTGTCTGTATATGTGTCTCTCTGTGTGTATCATTAATATGGCTAATAGAAATTATCCAAATCTCTATTTTTTAAATTATCCAGTTTTAAACAATTTGTTTCAATTTTATTAAATTCATTAATCTTAACAGGAATAATGGAAGAAACAAATGTTTTAAATTAAAATACACCAGCATATTACTGAAGCCTAAAAATTTAAAGTAAAACGATTTTATAATATACCTGCTGAATCAATTAAGAATCTTACAGTGCAATGTACTGGGCTGGGTTAGGCTCTGCCATGTCCATACACCAGCATATTACTGAAGCCTAAAAATTTAAAGTAAAACGATTTTATAATATACCTGCTGAATCAATTAAGAATCTTACAGTGCAATGTACTGGGCTGGGTTAGGCTCTGCCATGTCCATACACCAGCATATTACTGAAGCCTAAAAATTTAAAGTAAAACGATTTTATAATATACCTGCTGAATCAATTAAGAATCTTACAGTGCAATGTACTGGGCTGGGTTAGGCTCTGCCATGTCCTCCCGACAGAACAAGATGCATCCTCACCATGGGAGGTGTTTCCGATTTGCTAAAGAATGTTAGTGTGGAATGCAAGAGCAGGCATGGTCTTCCCTCTTCCCATGCCCCAAGCCGATATCTGCTTTCAGAGTTCTGGACCATCTGAGGTGGGAGAGGAGACTACAAAAAAAGAGGGGAATGACAGGAGTTTGCCCACCTACCCATTCACTTCTTCCCATTTTTTGCAGGCAGGTACATCCACAGGTCAAAATCTATTCAGGGAATCCTCCAACCAGTGGAAAAGAAGCTGAGGAAGAGAATATCAACCCCATGATAGTCTGTTTAATGCAAGGCTTAACAATAAGAACAACAATTTAAGGCCTTGCATTGTGGCAAATGTTTGGTGCAAATGCCAAAGTTGAGGGCTGAGAGCCGGAGGAGGTGAAGGGTGAAATTGGATTCTCCAAGACAATCTTATCTAATTGTAAATTATTCTTTTGCTGTATCTCCTGAATTTAAATGCAATGTTGCTATGGGCTGGTGATGAGACAAAATGTATTGATAAGCCTTGCCTTATTAACTGCTCCAATTACCATTCCTGCTGACTGAAGAGAAAATATTTCCAAATCAGGCCAAGAGCTGAGCAACAGCTCTGAAATTTTATCTGTGGAAAAATGATTTTAAAAATGTAATTGTCATATACTTGACCACCCTCTCATCCTCTTTAACCAGTGGGTCTGAGGGAATATGTTGGACTTTTGCATCCTACAGTTCAAAGAAAGTCTATGTTTATAGTTTTACTTTGTTCCTTTTATTCCCTTCATAATTGCAAAATTAAAATGGCTTATAATGTATCATCTAGCACAAGTTTATTTTGTCAACTTGATTTGACATGCTTTTTCTAAAGCAGACAGAACATCTAAAAGCAATATCAATAACTAGGTTCTGTGTGAGATTCCGATGAAAAGCTTTCCAAGTTTTGGTATCTGCTTCAAAAACCTGCTCATAACCAAAGACTACCCTTAACATATATCCTGGCAAAAAGTTTGCAGAGCTGATGGAGAATTACTACACGTGCAACATATGTCATAAAAGAAATTTGTCTCGCAGATACATACTGCAGGATTTCAGCCACTGACATGAACATATGACAAAACTGATATAGTCCCAATTTTCTCCATTTTGACATTCAGGAAACAAATGCTTCTTAACACGGCATGTTTGGATCATAGATGGGTGGAGTTCTGTGTTGTCTGAGCATCACAATTCAGTCAGTGGTCTGGGGTGAAACTATCCTTCCTTAAGCAACCATGTCACACAAACTTTACAAGGATTAGGACTGCTCAACACTCCAGGCCCCAGTCATCACAAGAAAAATCAATCAGAAGCATTTCAACCACACCACAGCCCTATGATAGAAGTCTCTGAAGTCCCTGAGAATGAAAATGGATGTTTCCAAAATATTGTGGAAGAACAGATGGGCAATTCTGTGGTATCAAATAGCAATTGGCATTCTCCCTATTAAACTAATTCTCAGAAAGAGTATCAAAGGCAATACAAAAGCCCCACTTTAACATGCTCACTAAAAACTAAGAGCTAGGGCAGGGGTTGGGAACCTTTTTGTCTGAGAGAGCCATGAACGCCACATATTTTAAAATGTAATTCCGTGAGAGCCATACAATATGTTTAA